GGCCCTAAACCGCCATCTACCTGCAAAACAGAGAAGCAGATGTTTTAACATGCATTGGCATCAGTTATGCCTTTTCATGTTGCCACTTTTACTCCTTTCTTAAAGTAGATGCACTGAAATGTCCTAAATGACATTCTAAAAATTAAAAAAAAAATTAAATTTGAATGTCCCAAATAAAAAATTAGATATATTTTAATGAATAAAAAGTAATATTCCTGATTCATAGAGTCTCAAAATACAATTATAAATCAAGATATATATATTGACATTTTAAATATTATTTTTGGACTTCACATAAAATTATTTAAATATTTATAATGAATCTTTGTTGCTGTGTTTTTTTTTTTTTTTTGAGTGTGGCTCGCTTCTCCCCCTGCTGTGTTTATTAATTAAGAATATATTTTAATATTTTTATTAATTTTTTTGACATTTTAATACAAAAAACATACTAATTTTTCTTCATCCCTGTTACTAATTTTTATATATTAGAATTTTGTTTATGTAAAATACAAGTAAATACAAATTAATACAAATTTAAAGCAATTTAAGTACAAGTACGCAACTTAAGAAAAATACTGCAGAAATATATTAGAATTTCGTGATGAATGAGAGTTAAGACATTTTAAGAGTGCTTTATTACTTTTATATTTTGATCAAATTTATACCGAAAAATGTTCATCTCATCTATTTATGGATTACATGCATATTTGAAATTTGAATTCAAAGAAATTTCAAGACTCCCAACACACGAATCAGCTCAATAAGTCAAGTAATTCACCCTCAACTTTTGAAATTTAGATTTAATTAATTGAGAATAAAAACCTCTCTAATTACTTAAAAATTTACCCCATTTTTCCACATTTCCTAAAAAAAAAACCAAAAAGAAAAAAGAGACAGACTCCCAATACACTAGCAGGATACAAACTTTCACAAGCCGTTGAATCAAGTTGCACGTCAACTTTAAAATTATGCATTCGAAAGGTTCTTCTTCTGTTTACAGAGAGGGCAATATGTGTGCTGATCGTCTTGCTGCTATGGCTCATTCCCAGCAGGAAGATTTTGTCATTTTAGAGGGTTGCCCCTCAACCCTTTTTATGTATCTCCATGCTGATATGTTGGGAACTGTGTATCTCAGAGATTAGTTTATTTTGTATCTTTGTCTTCTAGTTTAATATTACTCTT